TCTGAACGCGTCCCCAGTGAAACATTCGAAGCGTCTGAAGGCGGTTCATATAAAATATAAAAATTTGAAAAATATATCAGAATCCATCTCAGATTCGAACTGAGTTACCAGCATCAACATTTATCGATGATCTTAGCCTAACCTGGCAAATGGATTGATTTTTACCTTAAGCGATGACGATCAGATTTGAACAGATGAACCAGTGATCAGAAGTCGTTCACATACGCCACTGAGCTATACTAGCTCGAAATCTTTTCTCGTCCAAAATAAAATATATTTGAATGAAAATTTCATCACTTAAATACTATATTTCGATAACATTTACTTTTTTCAAGTAAAATATTTTACACATAAAATGATTTTTCGCTTATTTTTTTTAATAATTTTCTTATTTTTTATTAAAATGATATCTTTTCTTATTGCCTACTAAATGTGATTAATATTAGGAAAACTTTTCAATTGTAGTAGTAACATGATAAATAGTTTTATCGAAGGATTTAATGAATAAATAATTATTCATATAATTTATTTAGTAGAAGTGTGATAAAAGTTGTTAATTATATAATTTAAACAGTAGTATTTATCAGTTTGCTAAAAGAACATTGAATGGTTGAAAGCTATTGCGATATTTTCGCATTATTATTCATACAAATTTTAGAGAAATATGGATTATATGCCATATTTTTAGCTAAATTTTCGTCTATTTTATCGTCATCTGGACATTCTTTGTCAAAAAGCCCAACGAAGTTTAGATAAAGAAAATATATGTAAAGTGACGGCTTCTAACACGGGGTTAACTCTTCTAGAGCAACAATTTTCGAAATAAAATCGCGTCTGAAACGCGAGTAATGAACGCGTACAAACGCGTTCTGAAATATGATCGCATCGCAACGCCACTGGAAAAATATTTGAGACACGTTTGAACGCAGTTAGCAGATAAAATGTATTCAAACGCGTTAAATGTTTTTCAGACACGCGTTTAGACGCGATTCATTTTTTTTCTAATTGCGGTTAAACGCGTTGTATAAAAAAACTGCGTTCAGACGCGTTTGAAATTTTTTTAACCGCGGTTCAATGCGTTTCATATCAAATCGCGTTTGCACGCGTCGATAAAACGTTTTCGACTGCGTCTCAACGCGTTTTATTATCAAACCACGTTTCAACGCATCCATTTTGCGTTTCGTATTTACATGGGCATAATCTTGAAATCACTACATAGTAAAAAAGATTGTATTATGTCGCACTGGGGCTTATAATGCGTCACCTTTTGTAGACCCACCCAGCTCAGGTTTGACCATATTTCTTTAGACAGAGATCTTTTCTTAGAATAATTGTAAATACAATTGCGAGACGATACAGGATATAATTTTGGGTTTATCGAACCAAAGATAAAATCTAGTTCCTTCTATAAGTCACTCTGTTTTTCAAAGCTATCAACTAAAAGCAACATTTTAATGAAGGAAATTCCATGATTAATATTTTAAATCGGAATAATATATTTTAATTAATGAAAACAGTCATTTTCTTTAATATATTTAAAAATGTTTTATAATACATTCGTGTCTGACCATCCATATTAAAATTTATTCTATTGTTGAGTAGAAAAGATTTACTTTTAAATAAATTTTCTATTATAAAACATTTTTGATGCTTTCTAATGTTTAAAATAAATAAATACTTAATTCAGAAAGTTTCAAAAAAGATAATATGTGTCCAGCTAACTCAGCCCTTTGATTATCTAATTTGAGAGAACCTTTTCAGATGGTAATCTCCGATTTTGATGAACTTTTGTCCATAGATACTACCTAGTGCCCTAGTAAAAGTTCTAAAAGAATTCGGATTTTTAGAGGTTGCTTCAAAATTTATGAACATTTTACATTTTACTATTAGTGTTTAAGAGACGTTTCACGAAAAACTCGATTATTTTCATACATCGAAAAACCTAAGAGTCAATAGATTTTACATTTTCACCAGATAGATATTTTCGTCCTAGAGTACGATATATGAATCTAAAATATTAAGATCTGAAGATTTACTTCTGGCCTTATGTTTATGAAACAAAATTCATTTGGAAAAAAGCATTTTATCCCATTTTGTAGCCTGTTTAATTATATATGGAATGAGGGTGTGTGTACATTCCAAAACCCCTTACAAGTTAGATGTAAATCTTTAGATCTTAATATTTTGGATTCGTATATCGTACTCTAGGACGAAAATATTTATCTGATTAAACTGAAAAACCCGTCGACTCTCAAGTTTTTCGATATGCGAAAATAGTCGAGTTTTTTGTAATCATATTTCGTATCTTTTTTGTTGTTTCTTCGACCCAGCAGAATTCCTTTAAACTAATTTCAAGATATGTGTTTTCGATTAGGCAAATCCTTTGAATATATGTAAAATAGTGTTTCAAAAATTTGCTACCAGTTCATATATTCTTTCATAGATGTGCAATAAATCTCTCAGAAGTTTGGGATCAATTCCTTGAGTTTCGAATTTGGAGTTTAGTTACAATCTAATAAAACACTATCTTTTCATTTTTGATAGGAAGGAATCAAATCTCAACCGCTAATCTAAACCATTTTATATCGATTTAAAAGATCAGGGATTCTTTTCTCCAATTCCAAGAGCTGGAATCTGTTACTTTCCTATTCTTGCCTACAAAGTTAATCTTCAATAATGAGACTTATTAGAATTCTAGTTCCTCTTGATATCGGCTTATTCTCGTTTCAAAGTTATGAGAATAACTAATTTGGTATAAAGCAGAAATCTCAAAATTCGATGAAATTAATTTTGATAGGTTGAAGAAAGCTAAAAGAGAGAACTGATCAAGTTTGGTTACAGTCTCGACTTGAAAAAACAGAAGTTCAGCTTTTAATATGGAAGGCTTTTAGAAAACTGCATAATAAACTTTGAAAATGTGTCAACTTTCGTATAAAATTTAAGAAATAGATGCTTTCGTAACTCAAAAAGCTGAAGAATGAATCGAAATGAAATTAAAATCGATTTGAGAAGTACTGCATCGATCTCTATAGTTTTGTATGTATGCTTTTTCAATAGTTTAGATTAGATTTAAATCATATATTATAACTATTAATAATAGAAATAGTTACTAAATTTAGATGTTCTCATTTTTAGACCGTTGTTTCTTCTGTTCTGTAATTTCTTTGCCTCATATACATTTTTTTCTTTTCTTTTATACCCAAATTCTTCCCAATGGGTTGGTTGGAATTTCCCCATTGATCGCATACATTGTTTCTCTTTTTAACTCATATATTCTCTGGTGCGATGACTTATTCATAACATATTTGCTGCATTATTCACAATAAAGGTTATTTGTCAGGGCTTCTTTTAGATAGCTAAAGTCAAATGTTTTCAACGCTTAAACGTCTATCCGACACTTTAATTGATACATCTAATAAACACAATTCAATCGACATTTCATTGAAACGATTCGATAAAAAAACTGGAAATTCAACAACTCATACTACTATCAAGAGTCGAATTCAAGCACTAAAAAACTCACTAGCAAGACCAGATGTTCATACTGTTAATTATATGTCTTCAATGGGTTTTGAATATACAGGTAATGGAGATGCAGCTAGATGTAAAGACTGTGGACTTGAAGTGTCTAACTGGACATTAGATATGAATCCATTTACTATTCATTCGAAGCAGCAACCTGATTGTCCATTTATACTTTCTCTAGTAACTAACCCACAACGAAATACACATGAATCTTCTATTGCGTCAGCAACAACAATTGCTGGGAATGTATCTATATCAACTGCAAGAGAGCATCCTTCTAAACGTCGAAAAATAGAAACAATAGATTTTCGATCTGTACTAAATACTTTATTCGAAAGTAATTCTCTTCAACAAATAAGAAAACGTTCATTTTCTCATTGGTCACATCATATTGTTCCTTCAAGTGCAGAAATGATTGAAGCTGGATTTTTTAATTGTAATGTTGGCGATCGCGTAATATGCATCTATTGCAATATTATTTGTCAACAATGGACACCACATGTCGATGATCCATGTGAATTACATAAAACTCTCTCACCTAATTGTATATATGTCAAAGCAAAATTAATGAACCCTACACAATCATCAATAATTATTATTAATGAGCAATCAACGACAACAACTACAGACATTCATTCATCACAAACAAATAATCTCGATTCATTACGATCAAATTATATTGTCTTCACAACACCGTGTAATTCTAATTATTCAGAAATACCAAAACGTTACGCATCATTTACTACATGGTCGAATGAAAATTCACCGTCAGTAGATGCTTTAGTTCAAGCAGGATTTTTCTATTCAGGTAGAGCAACAATAGTTACTTGTTTTTATTGTAATGGATCGTTACAAAATTGGGGTTCTAATGATAATCCAATAATTGAACATGCTCGCTGGTTTCCATGCTGTCCATATGCGAAACAATTATGCGGCGAAGATTTATTTCGTAAAATTCAAGAATCCAAACGAATACAAAAAGGTGAATACTAAAAAACAATCATAAATTTCATTCATTTTTTTTTTATTCTGATAGAGCAGACCAAATCAATAGAAAGAACAGGTTTAAATAGTATGATACAAACTAATGTAACAACAAATACTGGTACATTATTAATACCTGATGAAAGTACTTTATCAAGACTCGTCGCTGCACGATTAGACTTACCAATATCACAACGTTTATTGGATCAAAATTTTCAATTATCTATTATAAAACGATGTTGGGAAGATCAATTACGAATAAAACGTATGTTAATCGATAAAGTATTGTCTTTTTGTATGTTTTCTTTGTTGAATATATTACTTAGGTGATGATTTTGTATCTGACAATGATTTGTATGTTGCTTGTTTAATTCTTCGAAAACAAATAGAACATATCGGTGGTAAAAAAGAAAACATTATTATTCCTAGTATAAAAATGAAACAAATTCGAGAACAAAACGGTGAAATTATTATTGATAGATCTTTCATTTTTATCTTCTCCACCTTTTTTTTTGTAGAGATAAAAATGAATAAATCAATGTCAATTGTATCTCATGCTGTTCAATCTATAGTAGAAAATGGTACGGATGTTGAAATGACAACATCTTTTCAATCTTCAATTAAATCAATAAGTAATCATGATGATGAATGTAAAACAGAAGAAACTACTATCAATAATCGAAGTCGATCAACGAATTCAACATCATCAAATCCATGTGCTCTTTGTCTGACTGAAGAAAAGCAATTAGCTTGTATACCATGTGGTCATATGGTTACATGTGTTGCATGTGGTCATTCGTTACGTTTATGTCCAATATGTCGACGAGAAATCAATGCATTTGTTAGAATTTATATTTAACAAAAACTAATTGTCGTGTATCTATATTCGTTCTTGAAATTCTTCTTTGTCGTGTAGTTCGTTCTGTTTTAATTCTCTTCCTTCATAATTTCTACTTAAGGTATGGGTGTCCACGTGAGTTTCGATCGTCTTTTCATGTAAATCCAAACTCATACCCACTATTCTCACTAATCATATGTCAGAAAATTGTTGTAATCGAGGGCATAGGAATAGTATAGTTTATAAATTGATATAACTTTTCGTAATATGTTGAAACTAGAGCTCCGTGTGGGATGGGATGGAATGGAACAACTAAAAAATAACTTTATCCCACCATGGGAGAGGATGGGACATAAAACTTTTGCGTTCCATCCCATGGGACAGCTGAAAAGTCAAATACCTTTTAAAAAGTAAATGTGATTTAATTATCATCGGGTGTGGAGTGTGGGTGTGGGTATAAATGAATAGAATATCATGCCCGCACCAACACTCACACCCACACCCTCAAGATAGTTTGATGATGAGTCAAGTGTCTGGGTTCTACATGGTTTGATGGTAATCTTAAGTATAACTCATACAGATATGCATCCACAAAAGATTTCATCTCAATTAGACTATGTATACATTCTTGAGATACAGTTCCAGCAAAACTTTGATTGGTCGAAATAGTCATATATGGAATTTTTCGTACTTGGTCAAATTTCAGCGCTGAGTACTTTCCGAAAACGTTCATTTTTAATTTATCAAAAAATCGTTCGTATAGAATATGTGGTGTGCTGGAGAAATGTCGAAAGGAAAAATGTCGAAAGGAAAAATATCGAAGGAAAAATATCGAAAGGAAAAATGTCGAAAGGGAAAAATATCGAAAGGGAAAAATGTCGAAAGGAAAAATGTCGAAGGGGAAAAATGTCGAAAGAAAAAATATAGTAGAGGAAAAATGTCGAAAAATAAATATCGAATTATTGTTGCTTTTCTTATGATTCTACTAGTNACCCAGGTGGTAACACTGTGGCCTTGAAGGGGCTCACTGGACATTAGATATGAATCCATTTACTATTCATTCGAAACAGCAACCTAATTGTCCGTTCATACTTTCTCTAGTAACAAAATCACCATTATGTATACATGACTTTTCTATTTCGTCATCAACCACTACAGGCGAACATATTTCTAAACGACAAAAAGTAGAAACAATAGATTCTCAACCTGTACCAAATACTTTATTCGAAAGTAATTCTCTTCAACAAGCAAGAAGACGTACATTTTCTCATTGGCCAAGTCATACTGTTCCTTCAAGTGCAGAAATGATTGAAGCTGGATTTTTTAATTGTAATGTTGGTAATCGTGTAATATGTATCTATTGCAATCTTATTTGCCAACAATGGACATCACATGTCGATGATCCACGTGAAGTACATAAAACTCTTTCACCTAATTGTATCTATGTCAAAGCAAAATTAATGAATCATACACAATCATCAATAATTATTATTAATGAACAATCAACAACTACAGACATTGATTCATCACAAACAAATAATCTCGATTCGTTAAGATCCAATTGTGTTGTCTTTAGAACACCATGTAATTCTAATTTTTCAGAAATACCAAAACGTTATGCATCATTTTCTACATGGTCGAGTGAAAATTCACCATCAGTAGATGCTTTAGTTCAAGCAGGATTTTTCTATTCAGGTAGAACAACAATAGTTACTTGTTTTTATTGCAATGGATCATTACAAAATTGGGGTCCTAATGATAATCCAATAATTGAACATGCTCGTTGGTTTCCATCGTGTTCATATGCAAAACAATTATGTGGCGAAGATTTATTTCGTAAAATTCAAGAATCCAAACGAATAAACAAAGGTGGATACTAAAAAGATATAAATTTCAAACAGTTCTTTCTTTTCTGATTTGATAGAGCAGGCCAAATCAACAGAAAGAACAGGTTCAAATAGTGTAACACGAACTAATCTAACAACAAACAGTGGTACGTTAATGATACCCGATGAAAGTACTTTATCAAGACTCGTTGCTGCACGATTAGACTTACCAATATCACAACGTTTATTGGATCAAAATTTTCAATTGTCTATTATAAAACGATGTTGGGAAGATCAATTGCGAATAAAGCGTATGTTTATCGATAAACTATTGTCTTTTTGTAAGTTTTCTTTGTTGAACATTTTATTTAGGTAATGATTTCGTATCTGACACTGATTTGTATGTTGCTTGTTTAATTCTTCGAAAACAAATAGAATACATTGGTGGTAAAAAAGAAAACATTATTATTCCTAGTATAAAAATGAAACAAATTCGAGAACAGAGCGGTGAAACTATTTCTGATAAATCTTCTATATTATATCTTCGCTCTTTTTTCTAGAGATAAAAATAGAAAAACCAATGCCAATTGTAACTCAAGATGTTTACTCTGTAGTAGAGAATAGTACAGATGTTGAAATGACAATATCTTCTCAATCTTCAATTAAATCAAGAAGTAATGATGATGAATTAAAAATAGAAAAACCAACTATCGATGATCGAAGTCAATCGACTAATTCATCATTATCAAATCCATGTGCTCTTTGTCTGACAGAAGAAAAGCAATTAGCTTGTATACCATGTGGTCATATGGTTACATGTGTAGCATGTGGTCATTCATTGAGTTTGTGTCCAATATGTCGACGAGAAATCAATGCATTTGCTAGAATTTATATTTAACAAAAATTAATTGTCATGTACCTATATATGTATTTTTGAAATTTTTCTTCGTAGTATAGTTTTTATTTTCTTCATTCTTAATTTCTTCTTAAGGTGTGATTGTCCATGTAAGTATTCTTAATCTCTTCATGTAAATCGATACTGAGGCCAAAGCTCCACATGGGATAAGATGGGAAAACTGAAATGTTAAATATCTTTGAAAAAATAAATGTTATTCAACTATCATCGCTCTAGTAAGACTATGAATTATCGTACTATTTCATATCATATTTTATAGTTTGATTAAAATGAAATTTTTTATAGTTTATATTCCCATCTTTTTTCGCTTATTTACAATAAAGTATATTCCTGTATCGAAGTCAATGAATTTTTTTGCTATAAGAATTCAGTTTTAGCATAAATAAGTTTTTGACATTCACATTCTAATCTCTGATATTCAACCTAGAAAGTAACATATTCAGAGTATTCTAACGGCATTTCATGCTGGTACTTGTTAAAATATCGTTAACATTCTCTGAATATATCAGTTTATAGATTGAATATCAGAGATTAGAACCTAAATGTTAGAAACTTTTTTTATGTAAAAAGTAAATCTCTGGCAAAACATTTAATTGACTTCGATGATGAGTCCAATGCAAAACTCTACAATAAACCGTTGTGCTTACTATAAAATAAGCATTTCACAAAATTGAACAAATTAATAAGAGGAGAAAAGGAATGCATCTTAAAACTGAAAATATTTTGATACATACAGATCCTTAAAGAGCTTTGATTTTTAACTATTTTTGCTCGTCCTATGAAATGATGGAATGAAATTGTTTCATTTCAAGTGGATCTCTGGTTGAGACTGCAAAACATTTTGATCAAATAATCAATATCGACCACAGAATAGGAGATAAATAGCCTAGATTAAAAAGTTTAAGCAACTATTTCTATGATTTAAAAAGCTATTACAAGTACATTGTCTTACCATTGTCGTTCTTGATAAATCTTTCTGATATGAAAACAGTTCTTATGTTGATTTCATGCTTTTTCATTCTTTTAGTATAGTTTTTTTTGTTCGTAACTGATGTGACTCAATGAAGATATACCATGTTTTTAGGAAAAATCTCTTTTCCAAATAATTTGTGCCATATGTTAAAAGCGATATGTGTGCATCCAGATGTAAATAAATATAATGTAAGATGTATTTCTACTTCGAATCCTTTGATGGTCGAACGACAATGAGTTTTATCAAAAATGTATATCTTTTCATTACAATTAAGGCAATAATTGAACATTACTTTCTTTTGCGCTTGTCGTCGACAATGTGATCTTCACTACAGCTGTCATAGGAAAGTTATTCAATGGAAGTCAGTCAATTACTCGAATTATGTTCTTTGAGTAGTTCTTTTCTGTTCTATATTTTGTGGTCCTCATTGAGGACCTTCAGAAATTTGTAGTTAACTTTGTATTTGAACTGACATGAGTCCTATTTGTATTAATTTATTTTATATATGACTTATTATCATTCGTACATAAAGATATGTGTTTTTTAAACAACTTAATCTTTGAATGACACCATGACTCGACTAGTTTAGTTTCTTTGTGATCAACAATTCTTTCATCATTCGAGGAATATTTTCTATCTATTGATAACATAATTAAAAACATCTTTTGTTACTATTGTTCATGTTTGAGTTAATTTTATTTCGCGTTATAAATGAAATAGCTTCCTTTCAAAAACTACAAAGGTAATTGGATTAAAATTGTTAGATTTCAATTCCTCGCTTTTCTTGCGATTTAACCTTTTGTTTGTACGTTGAGAATATGTAGCAAGCCAAGTAGCTGATTAGAACATTCGAAAAGATTAGGTAAGATATAATAGGAAGTATCAACTTGATAGAAGTGTTGAATTGTTGTCTCATTCTAACCATCAGCAATTATAGGCATGCAATGAGAATTTCACGATTTTCTACTCAGTATATAGATCGTTAATGAACATTTCTTTTACTTGATGTTTTTCTCATGACATATTCGCTACTAAAGCTATTCTTTCTCCGTGTTCTTTTGCAATCCAACTTTCTACTTTACTTGCGTATGTTAATTTCTTTTTATCTAAATAAATATTAATAAAAAAAAATTATCAGATCTTGAAACTTATCAAGATCGAACTATATGTGTGTATATAGATTTCATTTCGCTTGTTGATTGTTTTTGTATGTGTGCTGCAGATATAAACACATAATATGCAGATCTTCTGTCTCTAGTTGATTTAGAAAAGTCTACCATGGATCTAACTTAATGATCTGAGATGCATGTCTACAAAGTCCAGTTCTTTCTCTATGTGCTCTTCTTTCAAGAGTATATTTTTCTTCGGAAATAAATTTCAATAAAGAGCTCAGACGAAACGATTTTATCATCTATTTTGAAATATGATATTGCTGATTATGAGACAGATATGATGAATTTCAGCCCTTGTATAACTCTATTCTGAATCTGAATTCTATCCTAATTTGAGAGACTAAATTAGTGGTGGTTTGCCTTAATCTCAATTAAATATGTTTCATAATACCTTACATGATGCTTTTATCGAATTTCCGAGTTCATATCACATGTTGCTAGAATCGGTCGAACAGCGCGGGTTAACCGGTGGTTCTTTTACGTGATATATTTTTACTTCTCAATGCATGAATATTATTTAGCTCTTAGAAAATTGTCACATTTAAGTCGATATCGCGTTTCCATGTAAAACTAAACATGCTGAAGCCGCTGGTATCAGCCGCATCGGTTAATTTTGCCTAATTTATAAGTGTGAATATTTTAATACAGATACCGCTATAAAAATCACTATAAGTCAGAACATTACCCAATTGAAAAATTTGTAGTGGCATCGAAAAATAATGTACTGAAAAAGGTATAAATCGATTTTTTAAATAAAAATGACTTTCCGAGAAAGACTCATATTGATTTCATCGAAAAATCGGCCGAAAATTAATGAAAAATGAATGAACCCGTCGAACCGGCGGTTTTAATTAAAAAGAAGCGACATGAGATGAAATCTACTCTCTAAAAACAAAAGGTGCCATACTGAACCACTTAAGGTTTTAGCCAAGGTCTCGAACCTTTTAAGGTTCTAGATTTGGGTACCATTTTCAGAACCTTTTTTAAGGTTCTATCCAAAAAATCTAAAACCCTTTAACGTTCCGCATTTCTGTCTAAAACCATTTTAAGTTCTAGACTTTTTCGCTTGAACTTAAAATGGTTCTGAAAATGGTACCGAGAAAAGGTTCAGTATGGCACCTTTTTTTTTTAGAGAGTATGATTCTGTGTTTGATATATGAATGCATGATATGATGAGTTCTATGGTTTAAGTAGATTCATAGGAAAGCTTTTTGGAGAACATAAACTATGAATCGATTTGAGTTTGGTAATTACTGAAGACATGGCCAACGATGCACCTCGCTGAAATGTCATGAGAAATCAAGATTGAAGAATGTTACATTTAAAAAGCAGTGTGATTCATAATAAAGAATGAAGCTTTCTCTTCCTTCTTAATTATCCATTTGATTTGATTATAAAAGAGTGACGCAAAAGTTTCGAACTACTCTCAGTAAATCGATGATATCTAGAGAAAACTTACATGAAATTATTGACTGAACTATGTCATTTTAAAGAGGAAGATTAGAACAATCATTTGGAAAAAACAACATGGGTTACGGTGTGAGTAGTTGTGTTTGTGGGTATAGATGCTGATTTGGACTCAGTAATGAGGGGTGTGAGGATAGTATCTTCTTCATATCTACAGTCATCCCCACACCCACATTCTTTTTCAATCGAAACACGAAAACGAAAAATATATAATAAATTTCTGGCAATTTTTAATCAGCGTTTTTCTGTGAAAAGATCCTTTTCATTATAATAGTCAACAACTCTTTTTATGAAATCAAGAAAAATTTTTGAAGAAGAACCCTGAGACTCATTTTCGTCTCTATTATTGAAATTGTAATCAAGAGTCATTTCACTTTCTACAATAAACATGAATGTTGACCATTGAATTTAGAAGTTCAGTTAGATGGTTCGCAATTTCTTGATCATGGAGTGATGTTGCTTTAAGATTAATTTGACAGATACTTCAGATCAAGAAAACTTCTCTATTGAGCAGAGAGTATAGAATCAATGCATTTATCATATTTTTAGAAACGAATAAAATGAATGTTAGTGTATTCCTCCTCATTTAATCATATGTGTCATTCGCACACCGAAAAATCACTATACATATAATTTATCATATAAATGACGTTATAGCCAATAGGATAGTAATGAAAATAAATAAACTATTATAGAAAATTAGAATTATCCTACAATTCTGGGAAATATTCTCTTTAATGACGTATAGAACAAGATAAGTATTGACTAAAATTGACAGTTGAATCTTTTGAAAGTTGTTTGCGCTTAAATTCTCACATTACATTGCATATAAGTACAGCTGTATGTGAGAGAAAATCTCAATTTGTTTCAATGAGTATTGATTGACGTATTAGTTTTTTACTGATAATATAATTTTTATAGTTGTCATTATAGAAAAGCTCTATCTCTTTAAGTGAAAGGCACTCTAACATCTGGAAAAGTTCTCTTGTCAGTAGGACTTTGGACATTAATTGATGCCATGAGAAATCTGAATGGTGAACAACTGTCATTATCGTATTCTATCACTTCGTTGTTTCAAACAAAAAAAGATCTACCACAACATTACATATTTCTTTATCTTTGAAAACCATCTGATGGGTTTGAGTGCGGCTATTGATTTCAGAACTATTTTACAATTCCTGATTTATTCAATTATTTATATAAAATGTTTTGAATGTTGTCTACATCTACATCATCACTTTTGTGTTATCTTGGCCTAATGGAATAAAACACAAAGAGTTTTCTGTTCTATTTATTCGTATATTTTGATTGTTGATCATAACGTGTTGTTCGATTGAATCGTCTATATTGTCCATCAGAACTTGGTTGTATTCTTGTATAACCTTGTTGATCTGATACTTTTATCGAAGTTGTTATTAAATTAATCATATCATCGGGTGTTTTAATTACATCACTCATTCGTATTGCTTGAACAAATTGACTGTATCGATCAATTGACTTTATAGCTTTAAGACGTTGTTGAAATTTTTCAACGACTGCATCAGGTGGATATCCAAATGCTTGATCTAATCGTCTATATCATCAAATTATTTCAAGTTAATGAATATTTAATAAAAAGAAAAATATATCTTACTCTTTAACACCAGAAAAAATAAATGTTTCTGCCATTTCTAAATTGAATACTAATAAATGATTTGATACTTTTACAGCTTCAAATATATTGGATAAATCATTGATTTTTATATCAAGTAAATTATGAATTATATTTTTTCTTTGAATCCAATAAATTTGTCGAGCAAAATATTCTTCATAAATATATTTTTTAATTTGATCAAACCGATAGTTCTTTGATAATGCAACTTTGATTAAAAATTCACCAATATCAGATACAACCTTTTTATTTCGATTTCGAATATCTTTAGAAAAATTTTCAATAGTTTCATTAATATGACGATCTAAAACTCGAAGAATTATTTTTATGATATTTATAAGAAAACTTTCTGACCTAATTCAGGATAAATATCAATAAAATGCATTAATAAACGTAGAAAATGACAATAAGCTTCGATTGCATGTTTTGATTCAAACATTTGTCCATTAAATAATTGTACACTAGATTTATTCATTAATGTTGTTAAGACATTCAATGCCATAATTGGTTTAAAATCATATCTAGCACTACCTAATGCAGTACCATTATATATAACACTAATACTATTTTGAATAATTGTTTGTCCTTTTCGAAAATGTTCTTCATTAATAAATATTGGTAACCAATGATTATAATCTTTTCCAGTTACAGAACGAAATGTTAAATGTTCATAATAATCTAATTTATTTTCACCTGATTTTTGTATTTCTGCAACATAAGCATCATATGATATAAGTTCTAGAATAGTTTCTGGCCATAATCGTCCATAATTATCTCGCTTAACTAATAGTGGATAACCAAGACAAATAGGATCATCTATGAAATTTTGTTTGGTTATACCACAAGTAAGTTTTTCTTTAAGTTCACGTAGACGTTCGATTTTAAGTTTTTCTTCGTCTATTTCTGAAATTTTGTCGATATCTTGACTGGTTACTGTTGTGGAATAATCAATAATTTCAGGATTTGGTTTTTTATATGAATGGCCACATGTTCGACAATGAAATTCTTTTACCATCATTCGCAGATGATCAATACTCTCAGAAGTTGGTTCACGATACAGATCAGGATCAGCAAAAAACGTAACAATTTGAAGAAGTGCAGTTGATAATGTATAGCCCGGACTATGAAAAATTAAATCATAAAACAAAATATTTAAATAAATATTTTTTTTTATCACCTCCATCCACTAGCTTGTTTTGCATTACCATCATCGATAAAACGAAAATGTGAAGCATAATTTGTCAATAGATCGTTACATAAAGCATGTCCATTTCTTAGAAACAAAAACATCATTGAAGTTATCGTGAGAGAATGTCAACAATTAATCATACTTTCCGTCATAGTGAATGTGACCATGATACCTCTGATCAAATTCTAAACCAGGTGCTATATTTCCTGCAGGACCTGTCAATGGATAATCTTCTGGAATATGAAGAACTAGATGAATCATAATGCCACGATAGGGTCCATCATTGATTAATACCTAATTGAGAAATAACAGTCAAACAATGTAAATTATATATTTTCAATACCTACATTACAATGTAGAAGAAATGGATTTGATTCGTCGGGACAACATACACCTAATCCTGGTATAGGAATTTTATCAAGATCTCTTAAATCTCTACAAATTTGAAAGAAATTTTCTAATAAGAAACATATTCTTCTCTTTATTAACATACCTCATAATACGTTTCGTAGCAGCAGCTTTAGTGTTTTGTGGTTTAAGTGAGATACTCATCGTTAGGCAATACAGAAAATAATGCAATAAACTGCATCTATATATATGTACACACACACACACACAAAAGGTTACAGGTAAATTTCAAGCATCACTGTAATTTTATTTATGTACATGAAAATGTTTTACACCACACATTGATAAGGAGTCGCTTCGAAGTGGGAAAAAATGAAGGTAAGGTCGTCGTTGTGAAAGAAATGAAGGTGAGGTTGTAGTTGTGAAAGAAATGACGTAAGCCAAACGAATAGTGTTGCTTTGTCAAGTGTTGGCTTTTGTTCCTTTTCATTATCTGCAACTTCATGGAATGAGTGTATAATTAAAATACGTAATTTCACCATTTTTTTACCAAATCGATTCATCAAAATCTGAATTCTTAATCATCTCAGTCAATTACCACAAGGTGAGTAAAAATGTTTTTCGGAAGTGGTAACACTGTTATTGCAAATGGTTTACATAACTTATTTTATACCAAATTAGAGCAGATCGAAATTGGGATTTTTTAAATACTAAACTGTAACAGTCATTAAACTATCTTCAGGGTGTGGGTGGGGGTGATTTGGGTGTGTGGATGAATGTGGGTGAGGGTGTGGATGTGGGTGTGGGGTGGATGTGGATGTGGAGTGTGGAGTGTGGGGTGTGGGTGTGAAGTGAGAGTTATTCTTCATGCACACGCCCATCTACGCGCAGACTCACACCCACACCCGGACTGTTCTTAAAGCTTTATTTTATTATGATTCAAACTTGTGAAGTAACAAACTAACCCAGAAAGCAGTTAATTATTCAGTGGAGGATGAAACGAGTCGTGCTGACGAATGTTTCTTGTCTAATATGCGATGATGCAAGTGTAGAATGAAAAGTAATCCATGCACAAGTCATATATATATATATATATCGTACCGACTTTATGACAAATCTGTTTGTTGTTGAGTCAATAAATTAAATATTCTGTAATACAAAGTATAATTAAAAATACCATTGCTTTCTAACATATAAAATACTATTATATCGAAATATATCAGCAGCAATGACGAAACAACTACATCGTTTTGTGGTATTTGATAATTCCACGGCAAAACAATTTAGCCTCTTTCTATACATAACCTAGATTCAGTAAGATAAGAAAGCACTGTACCACGACTTTCTAATGCATATACATCAATACTTCTGTATTAAAGATTTCTCATGATTAAGACCAATATATTCTAGATTGACAAATCCACGAAAACCAATTATATTTCTGGTCTCTCTGTTGAGAAAAATCTCCATTTGCAAAATATGAGGAAAGAACCGATTTAAGCAAAAACAGTTTTGTAAATGTAGTCCTCAGCTTTTGCTGTCTATTGATTAATCATTATTTTAGTGCTTGTAGTAAAGTCAGTTTACTTTCTTATGAGATCTAGGCTATTAGTTCTTGCTTAGAAAAACTTTCCAATCAATGTCGAACAAATCAAGTGGTTCCAATTTCTCTTCATAAAAGAGGATGCTTCGTCCCATTTTTTCAGTTTGTTCGTCTGGTCAACTTGTTCTATCAAGTGACAAAAGCGTGCCTTCTGATACTTCAGTCGTTTGGGATGTTCTATACCATGTTTTATTTTGATCTTGATCAGACTTTGAATTTGAAGAGAAAGACTTCTGACAGTCACCAGAATAAGCTTCAGATATCTTTTTGTTTGACTCTGACGAATCGGTTGTATTTTTTTGATTATTTTCTGGAGTTTCCTGATTCATATTAGATGACAGTGAATTCACTGGCGCATTCGATCCTTGCTGCGATTCAGTGCCTTGCCCATTTACATTGAATCTTCGGTCTTTTCTGCCAGAATTTGTCAAATCGTTCGCTTCTTGGCACCCAGGATTGATTTGGTTTGATTCCTCAGTTGAATTCGTTTCGATTCTTCCATAAATATTCTCTCCATCGTGTGGTTTTGAAGTATTGATTTTGTGTGAATCGTTTTGTAAATTATTTTTGTTCGAATTTGAATAAGTAGGATCGGATGAGCTGTTTGGCGTTAGGTTTGATTCTTGACTGTTGCTCGACTGTATACTGATGTCGGCATATTTCCGTCCACTATTTTCACTGTTTGATCCAGCAGCTAGTACATCTGGATTTGACCTATTTTGAGCAGTTTCTGTTTCTTCCCATTGTTGTCTGAGCCTATGCGTTTTTTCTATTAGTTCCATTACCTGCTGATTTAATTCAGACAGCTCTTTGTTTTGTCCAATTTTCAAAACTCCTTGATCATCTTTAGTTCTATCTAAGACTATTTTTAGTGCCTCTACTTCTTGTTGTATGTTGAGCACAGATTTCTGCAACGCTTCTTTATCATTTTTGAGGTTTTCTACCGCTATTTTCAGCACGTTTATATCACTTAAATAATTCTGAGAACCTTTGTGAAAGCGAGAAATTTCATTTTCAATTTTCTTTAAGCGTTGAGTAAGCTTCTCCAGATAAGAGCGAATCTTATTAATATTTTTCCGATGATTTTGAGTTGAGGAAATATGCTTAGCCGTTGGAGAACCCGAAGACTTTTGACTAAACAGAAAAAAATCATGAATTACCCTATTATTTATCACTCTTACTTGGATCTTGACATAATATAAGACACAGTGCGTGGTATAAATGATGATGGTACGTTTGGCAACTTGGTCAAATTCTCTTGAATCAGTTCCTGAAAGTACGTTGAAGTGATTTTCGAAAAATAGAGAGGCTTTCCGAAAAGGAAACAACAGTTGAATAACATAAAGTGATCTGTCAAACTATTCCAGATAGAAACACACCAATTCATCGTATTATTCTTGGAAATATCAGCGAGTCGTCGCAAAAATTACGTTTTGTTTCGTTTACACACTAAATAAAAATGTGCCGCATGTGTCGTGATTTGGGACACATTGAAGTACAACACAAGGAGCTCACTGCAACACTTTTTCTCCAGCGAGACCACGACACATTTCATGCGACATATTTCCTATTGATTCTTTCCGAAAAGCATATTTCGATACATTTTATTCAATATAATTCAATTTAGTTATTTTTATGCTGAAAATTCTAGCAGATCAGATCCTGAGATCTGTCCTGCTTCGAGTTGATCTGATCTACATCAGACCATTCCAATGTAGGCCTTTCTCGATCATGGATCGAGATTGACATTTTCTCGACAAAAAACTATCGAGAAATAAAATAGAAAAAAAAACATTTTTAAAAATTCATGTTTCTTACGTTCAACTGCGTTGTTTATATATCATTATGTTTGCACAATAAAAGGGTGAATGAATAGTTAGCAGACAGAACGCGACAAATTTGTATACGACACATTTTTCTGCTGGAGTGTGCGACACAATAATTCGCGACACATCAACACGACGCATTTTATTTTAGTGTGTACCACAGATGGTTGCCTGGCCTTCTTGTAGGCGTGTCCAAAAAGTGGAGTAAATAGTTAACGCAATCTGCACCAAACGCTAATTTAGACAATAAGTAACTTTTCGTGGCTGGACATTTAGTACAATTTGGAATAGGGTCAACTGGAAAGGGTGGGTGTGGGTGTTGACTTGGGATTAGGCTAAGGGAAGATCCACCTTCACACCCACATACCCAGGCCCCACTC